GAATTTAAACTCGATCGACGTACCGCTCACGTTCCAGGCTCCTTCTATCTGATATGCGGCTGTCGCAGCACCGAAGATGAAGTTCGGCGGAAACCTCAAATGTTTCTCTTCGTTCTCTTCGCCACTCGTAGAACTAGAGAAACTTCAAATTTTCAGAACCGAATAAACTTAGTGAGCGATCCCCCTTGGAAAAATTGTGAAAATAAAGGATCGTTTGTGAAAGCTTCGAGCAACTTCATTGATCAAAATTGACCGATTGATTATCGGAACATCAATTAATTGAAGACTTTAGAATTGAATAGAACTCGGTTCAGCAGAGAAATATCGGGAAGTAAGAATAAAGATTGAAAAAGAATTATTACATTTTTATTCAAACAGTTTCTGTTCCTTTTCATCGAGCCTTAGTTATCGAGTATTTGTAACATAGTCCGAAATAAATAATTTTCTTTCTATTGAAAAGAGTTCGATTTTCTGAACAGCGTGCGCCACAATGTTTAAATAATCAAGGGAAGGGAAGATAAAAGAAAAATGAAGTACTCACACTACAAGTAGAAGGAGAATGCTAGTTCCCAGTGAAAACGTGGCTGACATGTCTGCTTGGAAAATACAAATGCATCGATAATTCTCAAGTTCTGCTTATATATTCAACTCAATGTTATCAAGCCTTAGTGATAATGTACAAATGACGGAATGTTTTTACGTTTTTCACGGTACGATAATATAGATAGATTTTCACTAGCTAGGCGTTTACTAACCTTATCAACGCCGTTTTACTATTTATCAGATCATTGCTTATCAGCCTATCAAACTAATTATCAATGCTTCGTAACATTGTTCGTAACGTATACTCCACATATATTTCCATTCACCTTCGCGAGAATAGAACTTGCTCTTCGTACAAAAAGTGCATAAAAACAGACATTGCAATCATAAATTACAACTGTTGCTTGGCTATCAGCTGACATCGAAAATAAAATTTCAATGCGTCTCTCTTACAAAAACCAGAGAGAGCCTACTTTGAAAAATAGCATGCTCGCTAGAGAGAGTTTAAAAACAAATTTATTTTCTACTAATTTCTAAAAACAAAGTTCTCCTCGGAGTCTAGTGAAAAATTCGACCCCTGTAAATTTCGGAAACCTCTCGAAAATTAATCAGAAATATCTGTCTCCATACCGAATGACCATTCAGCTGAGCTACTCGTCTCACAGTCAGTCAACCCATCGTTCTTCTTTGTCCAACGCGAACAGAAACGCAAGCAATCGTAATGACGACGGATGAGAGACACGGCAAACAGAAGAAACAAGACAAACGAACGCGTTTAAGAGGCATTCGGCGAGGCGCGCGTCGTTTCCTCGTTCGAAATACCTCGAGGAAATCTTTCCAACGGGGGAATACGTATCCTGACAGGTAATCTCCGCGAAACATTCGGCTCCGAGGTTGTATAAGCTGGATAGAAAAATACGCGTGCAGCTACGAAAACTTTGTTATCGTGAGGACGCTAGCTACCTACCTACCTGCTCCGCCGCCCGCCTCCCCTACTTTCCCAACGCCGTTCCGTTTCTCGATATCCCGATACGAAATACGCCTGTTCGCTATACTATACTATGTATGAGAGACGCGGCTTTACGACAGTTCGCAAAGAAAGTGGATCGCGGAGGGTTATTCTTTCCCAGAGCAGGGGATGGAGAACGTTACGTACGAGTGACAGTCGGACGTACAGTGAATCTGACATTAATATTCGGACATCACGATATCGGAGAGACTATTGTTCGCGATTTATGTATTTACATCAGTTCGTATCAGATCTCAATAATAGAATAACAAATTTCGTTTGTCTCATGCAGACAAACTGAACACATAACGAAGCCTTGAAAAAAATATTCGGATAACGAGCAAATTATATAACGTTATCGAAATTTCGAATATTTTAGATATAGATAGAGTATACTCGTACAATGCCAATGCAAACATTAATGCTAGAATGTCCAAATATTTTTCGCGATTTTAAATTCCGTTGTTATTTGATCCAAAGACGGCGAACTTCTTCCTCGCCGTGGATCGCACGAACTGCTCATTCAATCCTCCAGTTTCTTCCCCATAAAAATTAGTTTCTAATCTGTTCCGCAGAGAACCATAAAAAACTACATTCTCTATCTTCCTTTAACTTTAGCAGCTACAGTAGAGAAAACAATTTATATGTATACGCATATACCTATCGCGAGTATTGTAACCGTGATAGTCTCAGTGTAGAGATCGATGCAGTGGAGGGGATAGCGCTAGTAATCAGAGAAGTGGGGGCAAGGACCGCCAGTTAGCCACTTCTGATTTAATCTGTCATTTTGCACGCAGAAGATTGTAACGAATAAATAGATAAAATGTATGTTTCCTTTAATTAGAATAATTATTATAGTATGTTAATTCGAATAGTTCAATTTCCAATTCAATATATTGATAAGAGCCAATGTCGTTCGAATGTTGCACGCGAATATAGATTACACGTGATTGAAACATATGCGGCCGGTATCTCGCGTCGACTGCGACTAATTTTCCCTTTGGTCACGCTCGATGATAGTCCTTCGTGACATTCCGATTTTTACAAAGTTTTATATACTCAGATTCTGATAAAGTGTAAAGAAACGAAAGGAAGGACAGATTTTAAGAATAAACTGTTTATACAAGAATTAAATTGATCGGCTCTTTCTTCCCAGAGTAATTTCACGTTTTTATCGCAACGAGAAGATTCTGTCATGTTGTTGATTTAATTAGTACGACTAAAAAGGACAAATAAGTGATGAAACAAATAAGTGATTAATAACAAATATTCACTTATAACAGTGAGTATATAATATATAATAGTATTTTTTTTTTTTTTTTTTTTTTTTGGAGAAGAAAAAGATAAATTACTTCCTAATACGATCTCAAATTATGTCATTATGTTAGAACTACCAAAATGACCAATTGTCTACAGTGATGAATTTTTTAAATTTGAATAATTTTTTATAATACGACAGAATGAGGAACGTGCGACAACCAAAAATTATCGAATAGTTTTTTTCATGAAAGCTTTAGAAAATTTATAAAAGTAAGAATATAATGATATTCCTGGACAGGTGTACGAAGGCAATTTTTTAACGAAAGATTCAAAGTCTTTTTTCTTGAAAATGACAAATTTTGTTCTACACTTTTCACTTATTTTTGTGGGCAGAACATCCTCGTGTCGATTATATTCGCGTCTGTCCACTACGAAATTAACTAAATCCAAGTATGCTTGATAAATGTTCAATTTTTTCGAAGGCAAAGGCTTCAGTGAAAAAATTTTATTCTTCCTTTTCGACTCGTTTTTCTTGCCCTGCATGTAGGAATTCTCTACGCTGGCCTGCATCTCAGAGCTTCTTAATTGAAATGTGATCAAGAAATGTTGCCGAATGTCTCCGTTTTATTCATTGTCGAAAGTCGTTCGCTTTTTCCTCGCGGATAATGCGATAAAATAGTTTCTGCGTGTTCCTGTCGCGTCTCGAGTCAACGCCGAGAGAAGTTCTGTAGATAAGTTTTCGCCGATTGGCTACGTACGTATATATGTCTATTCGAACTCGAGAAACTTTCAGATAAAAGGTGATTTCCCGTGATTTAACCGTACCTTTTCGTTTTTACTACGGCTTTGGTTTCCCCACGAATCTCGGCTTGGAAACGTGTCGCTGTATTTCGTCTCGCGACTGATTTCCAACGAGCAGTGAATCGTAGAAAAATTTCAAAGAGACTGTTGATCGCAACAGAGTATAAATAATTGAGCACTTGTCTCGATTCTGATTCATTGAGTTTATCGCAGTCTTACAAACGTCTCGATTTTCTTGTTTTTTTAATTTAATTAAATCGCAGTATCTAGATAGGATTAGACTTAGAATTCTTAGAGTCTGCTAAGAGCAATATTAAGATAACGTATGTTGTTAAACTAACTAAAAAAATTTGCCAACAAAATGTAGCATTAACGCAAGAATTTTTTTCAAAATATCGTAAAATCTTTCTAGTCAATTATAATATATTATAGTCTAGTCAATTACAATATATTTACAAAAAAAAAAAAAAATAACGTTTAGTGAAAAAAATCTACAGGTTAGAAATCAAAAAAGAAAAAATCTGCAGCGAAACGATACATTTGTCGTTCGTTGAATAAATCGCGTACACAATTAACGCACACAATCGAACATACAATTAAAACCAGCTAATTAAACGCAACGCATTGAGTAATCTCTCCGTTACATCATCACTTATCGATAGTCCAACTAGCAAAAAGCAAGCGTCGGATGATTTAACGAATATCACGATAACGCTGTACGAAGTTACAGCTGTCGAACGTATTAATGCGTTGCTTGGACAAACGATCGAACTTGAAGATAAGATTAATCCCGGCTTTATTTCGCCGATTATCGTGGACATTGATTACAGTCAAAATTGCCCTTATCGCGGGCGAATACGTTCGCGCAGAGAACAGGGAAACTGTGTTACGTGGTGTCGTTGAATTTATACCTACGTCCAATCGCAAAATTTCTATCGTACGAGAATCACGCGCGCACGATCGATCGGATGACGAAAATGACAAATCGAATTGGACGAAAGGAAACGAATCGAATAAACGCGCGAAGAACGAAATCAGACGAGATAGAGCTGTCGTTGAATGATTAAAAGTGAAACAAAGACGATACGCGTTGCTAGCAACAACGGGGCACGTTCGTTGAATATTACGACACTGAATATTTGAATATTTGAACTTTTAAAGCGAGTGCCTGCTAGGTAGGGCCGTGACATTCTCAAGAACAAAAATTATTAATGCCACCAGTAAGTTTCAGTCCAAAGTTGGCAAAATGTAAGAATGTTTTTTCGAAGTCGCTCGAGTTGTTCTTTTTTTTTTTTTAAGAAAGAAATTTCACGCATCTTTTATTTTTTTATTTTGCTCCCTAATAATGAAAGTACTTTCGAAGATAATTTGAAAAGTTGAATCGAGTTTCAATGAGTGTTGCTAGTAATGCATAATTTTGAATATTTCTCTTTCACTCTTTAATATTATACATATTCTATGTATTTTAAACTCATTAGTGCTTTATCTCCTTTATTCCCTTCAATTCTCTTCGAACATTTCATTTTATTCAATTTATCACCCATTCCTTTTCCTTCCTCTGACCATAAATCTTCCCATCGAATATTTCTCACCGATAAATTTTCGTCTGCCCTTCTTTCCGAATTACTTTTTAAAATCTTATAATCCATCTTTGATTAGAATTGATTATAAAATCTAACTGTAGAAAAGTATTTTTAAAGACACAGAGAAATTGCAGACGCGTCAAAGACCTATCCCAACGAAAACCAAAAAAAAAAAAGTAAGTCACTTGTTTTTAAATATTCAACGTAAAATAATACGTAAATAACATAGATAACCACGGTATTGAAAGTCAAGAAACATTACTCTTTTTTTTATCAATACGTAAACTGATACATTGCTTGCTCCGTATCTTGAAAACCAACAAGATCATTTATTCAGAAATACGATAGAACATTTACACAATTTTAATCAACAAAAAAAATCAGACGACTTCAAATGGCAGAAGCCTGTTGACTACAGTTGACCAATGATTTTTCATTTAATATTAGTAAATTGACAACTTATAGAATACAAACATCCTTCTTATAGTTTTATAATTATTTGTCAAATTTCAATTTATCAAAATAATAACTTGTGTCATTTAATATGCAGAACGAATCACGTAATATCTCTGTTGTTTCTGCAGATATAAAGAAATATTATTAACAAATATTGTTTAACACAAAAGAGGGCATAATATGACAGTAACAGCTCTCTTTGTAAATAATTCTTCATAGTCAACTCGATCTTATTTTGGTTTCGTTAATCGATGTAACTACTAGTTTAAGATATATTTCGTTTCTACCTTAATTTTGTGAAATCTATCGCATGAAAGACGAGAAATGACAGGGGCAGTATTTTTGTTTTTCATGCATAAATTATATAAACTTGTATCTTGACAGATATCTGACAATCTGCACATTGACGACTGACGACTTGGATAATTGATAATACAAGTTCGTGCGAATTTAGAAATTTAATTTTTATATTTGCTAATTCTATCTCTTTATTTGATCATTACACATTAAAATAAGAAATATCTTTTATTCCTAAATATATATACCTTTTCGTGCTTCGAAGAGTTTAAAAAAAGTTTGACAATGTTGAACAACTAAATAGAGCGCATCGTCACTATAAACTTAAACTAGGGTTAAACAGTTCACTTCTGAACAATATAAATAATAAACCAATGAGTCGCCGATGATAACTGGATCACCGAGGAACTGAAACTGATCAATCTTTCCACGATGTGTCATTTACATATCTCTCTGATACAAGTAATAAATTCTTTGAACAATCTGCTGACTGCAAAAATTTGCATTCTGTCGAGTCTTCTGCAGTGTTATCTTGAGGAAGGAAAAAGCAACACAATTTACTGCTATATAATGTACCTTTCTGATTTATGTTAATTTATGAATAGATTTATAAATATATTAATAAAGAGCGTATC